TTTTTAAACCTCGATGATAGAGTTGACGAACTTCATTTCACAGCTCTCCTCACGTATTGGGACATCATTGTCGCCCAGGTTAGTTTCGTGAAAACTACACATTAAAACTACACTAAAACATTTCATTACATATTTACTAAAATATATTTTTTAAAGAATAAATCAACGAAAGGATCAATGAATAGAAAGAAGATGCATGACCACCACCTGGGCGCATACTCCTACGCCAACATAGAGGATGGTTATTGTCGGGATACGGTATATGTAATTTAACGTTTTAAATGATCTTAATGCTTAGTATGACTATGAAATCTCATAAATTTATAATATGACAGGGAAGATCAAGAATGCCGATAAACTTGAAGGCAAAGTTAGCATATGGTACTTTCCGTGATCGATATAGGGATGAGGACAAGAATTAGGATAAGATCAAGACAAATCTCGAGTTGGTGCTAAGACTTATATATAACTTAATTAGTATTTATAACTCTATTTCATTCTTAATTTTACGGAAAAACGAGAACACGAATAATATGGTCTTTACAGAGGAATATATGCCATGTGAATAATCTAACACATTGGCCTAGTAGTAAACAAATTTGCAAGTAAGTCAATTTGGTATTTACCTTGAATAATTATTAAAATGAAGTTGCAACCAATTTGATATTTTTAAACTTATATTTGTGCTTTAGGAGGGTTTTGAAACTACAACCAGGGAGGCTGCAACACTGTACATGTCGCAGGAGGAAGAACAAGGCGAGTCGGACCCTCACATGCTTTCTTAAGAGGATAACATCACTCTCACACAGAACCTATTAGGACATAATAGGTAGGGATGGTCAAAATCGAATCAATTCGAATACTACGTTCCTATTTATATTTGTTTAACATTATTGAATTCGATCGCAAAATCTAATATTCATTTCTCCCTAATAATAGGAGAGGAAAATATCCTTTGCATGGTGTTGGAGCTTCACCAGGCATAAGCATAATATCATCCACATCATCCTCCATGCCATCTACAACAATGAGGGTAGCCCCAAGCAGTTTCGAGGCTATACTATTTGTCCTACGTGTCTCTGCGTATTTGTACGACAAGATTGACCCAGAGCTGCATGCTCAAGTGACTGCGGAAATGACCAGAGTTGCGAGGAGGGCCCACTCGATGGACGATATCATGTCTTATGTTATAGAATATTTGGCCGGTGTGATTCCCTCTAGTGTGTTTGGTGGTATCATACGGCTCATAAGCTTGGGTGTTGATAATTCCGGCATTGGGCAAAGCGACGTTCAGGTATCTTATTTTTTCTTATATTTATAAAATTATTTATATTTAATATGTTATCAAACACCACATAATTATTATTCAATTGGACATTCAGGCTGGAGATATTAGATGAAGTAGTTCCCGTCCTCGTACGAGGGATAGAGATGATGCCGACGATGATGAGATCTGAGGTTTTTTTATTTTTTAATGCAATGAACAATTTTTTTATTTGTTATAGCACTCTACTTTTTTATTCATGTCGTTGGATCTGTATTGCTAGTGTATATGTTGTTGAATGTATTTATTGAACGGAATTGCTGGATGTATATTTTGGATTGGATGGTTGGATCTGTATATTGAAGATGCTATTTGATTATATTTGGACTTATTGGATGTATATTTGGATGGTTGGAATTATTGGATCTGTATATTCATGTGTATACTGTTATTGTAATTAAATGTATAGGGAAAGCTATTTAAAAAAAAAAAACTTTTTGTTAGAAAAAAGCAACCTAGACGGAAATTCCGTCTACGTTGAACCAACCTAGACGGAATTCCGTCTAGGTTGCTATAATGGCAACCTAGATGGATTTTTGTCTCGGTTGGCAACCTAGACGGATTTCCATCTAGGTTGTCAACCTAGAAGGATTTTCCGTCTAGGTTGCAACCTAGATGGCTTTTCATATTCTGTCTAGGTTGCTTTCCGTCTAGTTTGACTTATCTAGACGGAATTCTGTTTAGTTTGAGTTAAACTAGGCGGACTTTTCTAGATGGAATTTTCGTCTAGATTGATCAACCTAGACGGAATCATAAGCAACTTAGACAGAAATTTCCATCTAGTTTGTTCTTTTTTCTACTAGTACAAGTTATAGTATAAAAGTTATCATCCCTCGAGTGAGGTGTTGTAGGAAATAATCAAAATCAGTTTCTAACTTGTGTGTGGACAATTAAGAGTGATAAATGGGGTTGTGAAGAGATATGAGAAAAGTGTGATTGTTCACAAATAAAACAAAATTAGATTAAGAGGGTAGAAGAAATTAGAGGAAATTAAGAAATAAGACCAGAAGTAGTTTTTACAGCTTTCCTTTTTATAGTCTATCAGTCCACCGACATATAAAACCAGTCAACCGAACACAGTGTTTTCAGTCGATCGATATTTTGACCAGTCGACCGATAGTGTTATCATCAGCCTGTAAGTTTTCAATCATACTAGTCAGTCGACTGATTCGATTGATTAGTCGACTGATCATGTTTTTTTGCACTGTAACGACTAGTTTTATATGAATCCAGATTTTGAGGGATTTTAGGATTTTGGGCAGATTTTGTGATTTGGTTGAGAGACTATAAATATTCCTCATGATCCATTTGTCAAATTAACTAAGAAAAACCTTGAGATTTTGTTTTTGAGACTTCTAAGCTTAAATCTTCTACTCATTCTCAAGTTTTTGGTTTTCACTTTCATATCCCACAAAAATCTCTGTGCTTCAACTGTTCATCTCTTCATCCTTGCCATAGGATTGTTGTAAGAGAGATTATTTTACTTCATCTTATATTGTGTGGCATTGTGTGGAGAGCTAGATCTCGAAGAGATCATTGTGTGGAGAGTTCGATCTCGGGAAGATCATTGTGAAGAAGTTCCGGCTTCCAAACCGAGTTGTGTAGTGGATTACCATCGAGAGAGGTAGTTGGGACATAGGTCGAGAGTGGCCGAACCTCGTGAACATATTGTCGTCTTCGTTGGCTAACTATTTCTCACACTCTCTCTTTTAATTATTGCCTTATTATTATATTTTGGTTCTTAAATTGCATTGCATTTTCATTAGTTGCACATTATTGTTTGATTACCCTATTCACCACCCCTTCTAGGGCAATTTCATTGAGAGGTTCACTGAGTAGTACCGCCTTATGACTCGACTACGCAAGTTGTCGGCAATCAAGTCGGCTGTGCTGAGATGGAGGCTATCTTGGACTTGAATTGGTCTGATAGACATAGTGTAAGACACATGTCGACTTCTCTATGTAGATTAATAATTGGTAATTTAGGGGTTATAACAGATGTTGCCACCTATGCGATAATATTTATACAACCAATTATATATATACACACACAACTCTCAAAGGTAACATAAAACAATACGGTAAACCCGAGAATAAAATACACAAAACGGTCATTTAGGGTCCATTCGAGTTGTTAAGCTGCGTATGAATAGTATATTAAAGCCTACATGTTCGACTCTCATAGAGAGCATTTATAAGAAATTAATTTTCTGAAATACTCAGAGCCATAGAGAGGTGGCTCTTAGCCATGGCGTGAGGTCCGATACAAGGCTGGCAGGATGGGGAGGAAGTTCTCTCATATTAAAAAAAAAATGGTCCGACTAGGTCACCACCCGCTTTCATCGGACTATTGCTAGGACCCACTTTTGTGTTGTTAATGAACAATAGCGCAAGTGTTGGGTGGAAAATAATAAAAAACAATAGCGCAAGTAGGGCGTGATGGATGGGGTGAATCATGGCCCGGGATTATAAGCAGAGACGTCCCTCTACATTGTTATAATCGGTATTTTTTTCAGGTTACAAAAAGTTTTGCAATTATAGATTTGATAGCCAATATGTTAGTGAAAAATAAACCTATGGAGAACTCTCCGTAGTAAATCGCATAAAATATAGGTAGAAAGTTGCGATACTCCACGACTGATTTTAAACAGGTAGAAACAAAACTATTAATAATTTTTAGATATTGTTCTCCACGTCGTTGTATTTCGAAATAAGTTTTCTAAATTTTGAAACCTAACTAAAAAATCATTCTCCTCTAATCCTTGTTGTATGTGAAGTGATAACGAAGGTACTCTCTTATCTTTGTGGATCGCTTGGTTGGAATAATATGCAATCATGTCCAAATGAGAGAATTTAAAAAACTTAACCTTCTTTGATTATGGCTATATCTATTCTCTGTTTTCCACTATAGTTATATCCAATTTTGTGAGGAGAGCTCCTTGACCTATTTTTTACTTAAAGAAAAAAAACAATTATCCTACAAAATTTTTAATGTGTCAAATCAGTCCACATTAGTGTTTCTTTTAAAACTTGACTCAGGTATATGATTATCATATCGAATATAAGTTAGGCGTTAAAGAGGAAAGTTAGGGTAACTATACGGTATTTAATTTAAGTGCTATTTAGCCAATAATAATTAATTCAACTTATGAAGTCTCTTATTAAATTCGTACAATCTTTTAAAGGGGAATATTTTAAAAAAGACTGATTTTGCTAAATAATTAGCAAAATAGACCATTTTGCTTATTATTTAGCAAAATAGACTTCTTTTTGGCTTGTTGACCAAAAAGAGGTCGATTTTAAAAACAGACTGCTGAAAACATACGGGAATATTAGTCCCGTATGCTTTCTGTGAGCACTAATCCCCGATTAGTGCACTGAAAACATACGGGAGTGCTAGTCCCGTATGTTTTCAGAAGCCTATTTTTTTTTAAAATCGATCTTTTTTTGACTTGTTGACTAAAATAGGTCTATTTTGTTAAATAATTAACAAAATGATCCATTTTGCTAATTATTTAGCAAAATCTGTTCTTTGTTAAAAAAATAACCCATCCTCCCGCTTTTTATTGGCACAGTTTTTTTTAATAATTTTTCTTCACACAGTTGAGATCCGTAAACTTATTTTCCTCAACAGTCAACACCCCCCTAAAATCCTAAAATCCTGAAATCTCCAAATTCTCCCCAAAACAGAGGACGACAGCGGAACCAGCGACAGTCACTCCGTCACTATCCGAGCTTATCCGCTACGTTTATATTTATTTAAAAAAAAAAACCTAAAACTCGCCTTCACTCGACTTCGCTTCACGATCCATTGACCTAGCTCGCGCCCATGGCGATCGCATCGCCTCCTCTCCTCCTCCTCCTCTTCCTTGTCGTCGCATCCTGCTGCTTCGCCGGTGCAGGATACGTCGCATACAACACGTCGGCGGGGATCGTCGACGGAAAGATAAACGTCCATCTGGTTCCCCACACTCACGACGACGTCGGATGGCTCAAGACCATAGATCAGTACTACGTCGGATCCAACAACTCCATCCAGGTCTCCCGATTCTCGAGAACCCCTCGACCTTTTGATATTTGCGCCGGGAGTACATTATTGCCGTTTTCTCTTTGGAGTAATTGCAATCTAACACTAGTGTTTTACCATAGCTAATATAGAATTTTAGTTAAATTCAATGTGTTTAGGGTCAAGTACCTGTTCGAGGAAAATTCTTAATTCTTAGAAAACCCAAGCAGCTTTGTTATATTTGATCCGGTATTTCTAATTGTTTTCTTTTTTTGGGTTGGTTGCAGTTTAATACCCCACAGTATTAACAATTTATATAATAGCTTTGATACTCGTGTGTGAACTTGCCAAAAATAGATGCCCTAAAGTTTCATCACTTTTAACTTCAATGTCTTATATTACATCGCCAATCGGAACTCGGTTTAACTGTGAATATTCTCGATCCATTTGTTTTTTTTTTTTGCTATAGTTTAATATCAAAATTTACTCATTTGTGTTTGAAGAAACGGAGAAACGGAGTAATGCTTTTAATGTCAGTGGGTTTAGTTAAGAATGGGATTCAGAGGGAGTTCTTAATTCTCAAAAAAGTCCTCAACTTGTTGATGTTTGCATGGAAAATCTCTAATTTTATATGTTTATTCTGTTTTTGTAGGTGGCTTGTGTGCAGAATGTGCTGGATTCACTGATCCCGGCGCTGCTGGCGGATAAGAATCGAAAGTTTATTTATGTCGAGCAGGTAGGTTTTGGTATGAAATTAGGCTTTAGGGTTTTAGATTTTGGTGTTTTTGATTGTTGATTTGGGTTTTTTTTGCGGGATGTAGGCTTTCTTTCAGCGGTGGTGGAGGCAGCAGAGTGATGCTATGAAGAAGACGGTGAAGGAGCTTGTGAACTCTGGTCAATTAGAATTCATGTAAAGGATTTCATCTTTAGTTTTTTTTTCCTGAACTAGTTAAACTTATGTTACGAGTGACACAAATTTGTCTTATTAATTTGTTACATACATACATAAATTCTTTGCAACTCTTTTTGTGTAGAATTAGTACTGATTTTTAATATCTAATTAGATTTGTTTCCTTTAGATTTGTTATAAGAATATAAGGTGGTCATTTCCTTGACAATTATAATTCCATTTATTTTACCCCAAACTTGAACGAGATATTATCATGACACTATAGAGGCTCATTTATGGAATTCTGTATAGGGTTGTAGGATGGGGTGAGACGTGGCATATTAGTGAGCTCACCTGTCTACCATTGATGGTAAATGGTAAACAGTAGTGACTGCACCAATAAACAGTAGCAATATGTTACATCAAGATTCATGATAAATCAGGTGTTGTCCTCTCCTTCATCCTTGTATGATATTCTGTAGAGGGCCCTCTATGGGATTTTTTTTCTTTCGAGATAGAAGAGTGGGTCTGCATGTTTCCCAAGTTGACTGAAATTGAGCTCCTTGCTCCCTTACTTTTTGAGTACCATTTCCCATAATCCAGGAGTACATGATACTTTTGATCAGTGGTTTTGACCAGTTTATCTCTGAAAAAAGTAGATTGTTGGTGTTCTTCTGTTTTTTGAATGAATACTGGGACTTATCATTCATATCATTCTTGTGATGAAGAAATGGGGGAATGTGTATGCATGATGAAGCAGCAGTGCATTACATTGACATGATCGATCAGACTACCCTTGGCCACCGATTTATCAGGCAAGAATTTGGTCAAACTCCTAGAATTGGTTGGCAGATTGATCCGTTTGGACATGCTGCAGTACAATCCTACTTGCTTGGGGCTGAGGTATTTCTTTTACCTTCTACACATCATTTCGTTAATCTTAATGCACAGTGATGGCTACAGATTAATGCTTACTTGATTGGTTGTATATTTCCGTGCTCAACCACTAACTTGCAGGTTTCTTTTCTTGACCATACTTTTCCTAATTTTCTGATTACCTGACATATTTATATTTCTATCCTAGTCTTAAAACAAAATACATCGCATTGAAACCTTCATTAGAATTTTCAATACAATGTATTTGCTCTTAAACTGGTGTGCCCCTTGAACCGTTTCCTTCTATTAGCTTCACATCAGGGATACCCATTAAAGTTCATTATTCAAGAATAGTTTATGAAGGATGAATGTTGTTATAGAAAGGATTCAATAGAGAAATACAGGGCTTCAGGTATCTGAGAATGAGTTATATACCTGTATTTCATATGGTTAATGAAAATTTTTCATTTACCTAAAAAAGGAAATACAGGGCTAGTAAGTGGGACATAAGCCTTTTTTTTGGGAGGGTTTAGTTAGTTATGTTTCATTATTTTTTTATAAGTATTCAAGTTATGATAAGCTATACATTTTCCACTTACATAATATATGCGTCTGTTAATAGATTTATACACAAATTCATGCATAACATATATACAAATATAGACACTTGTACATCTTTAATTGCAAAAGAGAAGCCAGCATTGAATATTTTGAAATTTGAACATATATGATTGGGAACAGTTTCAAAAGGGAAAGCATGTTATGCCTAATTTGAGGCTATAAATAAAAATCATGAATTTTCAAGTATTCTCTACTGTGAAATATAAATATTGAATATTGAAAAAGAAAAATTAAAGATAAAAAAACTGAGTGAACTTAATTATTGACAGCCTTTAATAGCAACATGAAGATACATTGATTTTTTACACTTTTTTTAAATTCTAACATTGGTCCCCCAAATCTGATCTATTTTTAAATAAGTCCCCAAATCTCATATATTTTAAATGATTCCCTCAAATCTATAAGTTCTCTTTGATAACTCCCTGTACATTAACACTATTAACTCCAAGTTAATTAAATTCCATTAGTCTATCATGTTGTGCTCTCTTCTTTCATGTTGTCCTCTCTTCTCTCTGCCTCTTCCTCTTTGCTTGCTATCTGTTGAGAAGTATCTATTTCACTTCATTGTAAGAATTAGTCATAACTATGTTGAGAAGATGAGGGAAAGACTAACAAGAATAATGTAGTTTAGTTAATTTAGAGTTAGGTTATCAATTTTAACCTAGAAGGACTTATTTAAGGAAACTTAAAGATTTGGGGTCTTACTTAAAACATATGAGAAATGGGGGACTTATGTAAGAATACTTATAGATTTGGGGGATTTATTTAAAATATATGAGATGTGGGGGACTTATTTAAAATATGTTAGATTTGGGGGGCCACTAAAAGAGAGACCTATTTTTTTGCTGAACCAAATATTTCCAACCAGATTTAGAAAAAAGATCCATTCTTTCTTTGGTTTATGAAGCCCAAGCCTTAGGTGGGACATGACAAAATGAGGCGTGAAGCATATGTTTTATTTGGGTCTCATATGTTAAAGGGCTTCTCTCATGATTTTGAGTGCTTAAAGGTGTCCTACCTTCTCTAGTCTCTAGCTGTTTGTTGTTTGTGCCACTTCAGACCATTGTTTTAAATATCCCCGACATGGCCCGATATATCCCCGATATATCCTTTTACAGGGCTTGCCGCAACCGATACGGTCTTTAAATATCCTTTACTGCTTTTTGGCTATTTTGAATGATAAATCCCTGATATGGCCGATATATTAGCCGATATGTGGACCAATATATCTTTTTATATAGCTTGTTGCAAAATAATATACCGTGTTTGGAATTTTTGGGCGAGATATCAAGATTTCCCCATTATATCAAATGACATTTTCCCCTAAAAAAGCAGATCGAATGTTGCAACGTTGCTTTGCACTTTTGTTTGTTTTAGAAGGTTGATTAGTGATCCTAAACATATATTATTCATATTTTGTATGCTTAAATTTCATTACATATGTTGAGATTACATTTTAATGCATTATAATATGTATGCAAACATTCATTATGGCATTCCGATATTTACCACATATCCCCGATATTTCCCCGATATCTGCAATCCGATATGAATTTTGGCCATCCAATATTACCCTGATATCCGATATTTAAAACCTTGCTTCAGACATGTATTTATATCCTTTTTTCAGAGTTACTGTGGGAAACATGAGTTTTAGACTATGATCACTTGCACAGGTTCAACTTAGACAGGTAAATGTGTTTGCCATTGTCCAACGATATATAGCTAGCTTTCCGTGCCCCTTACAACACTGTACACCGTTTTTTGATATGAACCGACATGCTAGTGTTAGTTTTATTGCATTGAATTAAGACCTTTAAGCCATAGTGCAGGTGATTCATATAGTTCACTCAAGTTCTCTGTTCCCATGTTGCACTTCAGTGGAGCAGTGATATTTAAAGAACATGAGCAATATGCCTCAGTTTGCATTGTTGGACTATGCCTCAGTTTGCATTGTTGGACTCTATGTGTCGTTCTTGTGGTTATATGACTATTCTTTGGTCTAAGATTTATGAATTATTTCATGTCCAGGAGTTACATCCTACACTTACAGTACTAACCATATACTGTTTCAATTGAGCAATTTACGCCTTGTTCAGTCTCCTGTTTAAGAAGTGAACACTATAGGAGTTACATTGGATTTTGTATGACCATGTATGCCCGTTTTAGAGATCTCCATTTTTGTACTATCGATGATTAGTCTTTTATTTAATATACAATCTATGCATCATTTCACGTACTGAAGTTGCATCTTGGAAACACCCCAACCTTAATGCTGTTTTCGTGAGGCATATAAACTTGCTTTCTGTCGTCTCTTTTTATTCCTTCCATATATACCTTTTCATTTTCCAGCTGTTGCATCAATAAAATTAGAAGTTTGTATAAAGGTCTAATTCACCAAAGATAAATCTTTTTTGCTATTACACTGATGAATGGATCATAGTGAAACAGCTTTCTGAAATTTGCAGGTTGGATTTGATGCTCTCTACTTCTCAAGGATTGATTACCAAGATCGAGAAAAGCGAAAAGATTTGAAGAGTCTTGAAGTTGTATGGCGTGGTTCTAAAAGCCTTGGGTCATCTGCTGATGTGAGTGATTGTTCACCCTTTCGCTCTTAGGAAACTATTCATGCTTCATAAATATTTGATTATTTACTCACCTGTTTTTTCGTGTTATAGTTTTATGATTAACTGTGGGTTTGTATGAGAAGTTTAAATTTTCCCAATTTTCATTTCAGATTTTTACAGGCATCTTTCCGAAGAACTACGAACCTCCACCTGGTGGATTCTATTTTGAGATTAATGATGCTTCTCCGGTTATACAGGTTATTACATTAGACATGTGAATTTTAACATTTTAAATATCTGAAGATTGGAGTTCAATACTGTCCTTTCTGATTTAAGGATGACCCACTCTTATTTGATTACAATGTTGAAGAGCGTGTGAATGATTTTGTTGCTGCAGCTGTATCACAGGTATGCAAATCCTTGCTTTCATCAGATGACTTATATTGAGATTTACTCTCATATTCTACAAAATCTTTACTTATTTTAGTTGACAAGATGGTGAAGTGTGAATAACACTTCCTTTTTCTCCAGGCCAACATTACCAGAACAAACCACATTATGTTCACCATGGGGACAGATTTCAAATACCAATATGCGCACACATGGTTCAGGCAGATGGATAAGTTCATACATTATGTCAACCAGGTAAATTTTCTTTAGTAAGCTTCCTAAAGAATAATTTAACTACAGCTGTATTGACATTAAGATTGGTAGATAAACTTTTCTGTGTTTCAAAAATTAAATTTTCTTGGTTATATTCACTGGAAATATTTTTCCCATTAGTTGAGGACTGTTCCAAGGTTATATAAAGCAGGAGTCCTTTTAAGTGATAAATGTGATTTCCTAGGCACGCACTTCATGTAACAGTCTGAAAGCTTAGAAGTTGAATGAGTTGTAAATATCAAAATTTATGATTTCAAATCTGGAGTATTAAATATGCTCGTGATTAGTTTTTTGATGGTTGTTTCTTTATAACTATATATAACATAATGATGCATGTCTGAGTGTTCAATCTTGTAGTCCCTTTAATGTCAGGAGGAATGACAACGGAGAGAGTGAGAAATCATCAAGATTATGAGTTTTCAGTGATTCTAGAACTCTAAGAATGCTGCTAACTTGCATGAAGATGAGACACAAGAGCCCATTGGCTGATGGATACATTGAACAAAATGACACGGGTCTTATATTTTGTTTACTTATGATAATATAATATTTACGAGTACTAGACTTCTGTAATTTGTTAATTACATAAAATTTAAACATAAAATGTACTTTAGAACCATGATCTTGCTCCCCCTTTAGTGACCTAGGGTACACTCCTTGAGATCTTCTCATAATGGGTGTGCCACAGAATCTTGGGTATGTGGCTGGATAATGTCAAGATCCATAGGAAGGTTGAGAAGTGGTGGTGAAAATGGCGCCTAAGCTAGAGAAAGGAAATAGTTAGTAAGCAGCTAAAATATGCATCTTATTCATCACTTGGATAATTTAAATTGAGATAGAGAACTGTAAATAATATCTTGATAGCAGAGGGTGAAATTGTTCCGTTGCCCCAGATGGAGCTACAGGTGGATGAATATGGTTTCAAATGTTAGGTTGGATATACGTTAGGTCTGATAAGAAATGCTAGTCTTATGGTGTCTCGTTTTGGCCTTAGATATGGCTTAAGATTGCAAATTTGGAAAATTGTGATGGCAAGTCATAGGATAGGTTCATGGTTAGTGGTCGTGGGTTTTATACCTGTCAGTCAATATTGGTCCTATGTCAGTCAATATTGGTCCAGATTTCCATTGGATATCTAACCATTTCCTTGTAAAAGTTTAAATTAGGGGAGATAATGTTGGCCACTTACACTTTTTCTTAGCTAGATTCCAATCAATGGGTAATGGAAGAAAAAATTATGCTTGACACTTGGTAGCAATTAGCAAATTTTCTGAAGAGCAAATTACTCTTGTAATCTAAGTCCATTAGTGATACAAATAAGACAACAACAACAAAGATTTTATCCTACTTTTCAGGGCAAATTTATTGCAGTGCTTCTTGCAATTTGACTTTTCCAGTTCCGTTTAGGTCTTCTATAAATCTTTTTGGCAACTAAGACTAGTGGCATCTCTACTTTATTTAGGCCTACATAACACGACATAGAGATAAGGGTGGGAAACGACCAAATTGAATCAAATATTTGCATATTCGAGTTCGAATTTGGTCGGATTTATGATATTCAAATGGGTTCGAGTTTGGGTTGAATGGATGAGTGCTATTCATATTTGATTTGTTTATAAAGTAAACATTCGGTAATTATTTGCTAATGTTCGTTAGCCTAGTTGGTTTATGGCTTGGGCTTTGAAGTCTCATGCCCTTGCTTCGATTCTTGGTGTAAACTTTTTCTTTCATAATTTCTTTGTAAATTTGTGCACAAACACCCTCCAAATTATCAAGGTTTAAAATATTGGTTATTGAGAATTTATCGGACGGTCAAAATCCATATTGAATAGCGGATATCGGGGATATATTGGGGATAAGTAGTATTTATCAGAGTGATATTACCGGATGGTGATATACATAGTATAATATTCTAAAATGTAATCTAACCATACTTAATGAAACATAAGCATACTAAAATGTAAATAATTATGTTTAGGATCACTAACCAATGGTAGAAAATCGGGATGGCTCGGGTTTAAAGTGCATTGAATAGGTGCCCGGAACCCGAAGTCAAAACTCAAACCAAAGGTCAATAATTCTGATTTTTGGGCCGACAATATCGGCCGATAACTCACTTTATCGCCTCATTATCGGCGATAAACATCCAAAAATAGTAATCGATTTAGAATCGAACTTATCATAGTAGAAGACCCCCAAAACTGATAAATCGCCGATAATATCAGTTTATCGGTTGATATTTAAAACATTGCAAATGATACATATTTGCAAATCTACCCTCAAAAGCATCATAATCATCGATTTCTCTTCTAATTACATTTTTCATTCAAGTTTATGCCTCAACTGAAACTAACCAATAAATTTTTTAAATATCTAACCTACCATTTAATAAATATAAAATATAAATGAATATTTAGTACACAAGCGAATCAAAGATACATTGGGTTAAATTCTACGTTTATGACTCGAATACTAAAACTTACTCATTTACTGTTTGGTGAACTATTGAATCAAATCTGATCGAATATTTGGACAAATAATAATCAAATTGTTTATTAATTATATAGTTCACTTCCACCCCTACATAGAGAAGGCTCCTGTTTCTTGGTAAAGCATAAACTTTGATAGGTTAAAGTATATTTTTCATACCCAGCTCATTTTATTACACAACTTACTGGAAGCAATTACGAATAATGTACTAGTGGTCAACTTAGCTTGTCACAAAACTGAGTGGAGAATCAGACTCATGTATCCTACCTAAAATTTTAGTGTAGAGGCATAGGAAGTAAGCCCTAGCGCAATAGTAAGATTTATGCCTTTTGACGTGGTGGTCACGTGGTTTTAATCTGAAACAACCTCTCCGCAGTGTGGGGTTAAGAATGCGTACATCTGATCGTCCCAAACCCACAATGGTCAGAGACTGGCCGCGCTTTTAGGCTTTTGCTTTTGTATATATTTACTTTTAACCCAAATTATTAAAATTATGAAAGTATATCATAACTATTACAACCAAGGAGTGCATCTAAGCATGATGATATAGTTGAATGAACCAGTAGCTATAGTTTTAGAGACCACACCTAGTAACCAAAAATAGCATATTAATAAAAAAGATACTTGATAAATTTGATTAGCATACTAGATCATCTTAGGGTTGAGGCTAATATAATAGCTCATCTTAAACTCCTTATTTTTTGATCCCAAAGCACCTAAGAAGGTATGGATGGTGTGGATCCGCAAGGGTATATTTTGCATGTAATGCAAACCCCATTTTTTCATATATGCGCATGTATTTTTGTATACCAATATACATATAAATAGGAGCAATCTCGGTTACTTCTGAAGGATCTGAAGCTGAATTCTTCATATTGGAATATTAGCTCATTAAAAAAATCCTTTGTTAAATCTGATCTACATTATACAAATATCTAAAACCATAACTTATATTTTGAAGTTTTTTTTTGGTTCATGTATTAGTAGACACTAAAAACAGCATTTAGATCTATAGAATGCCAATTACTGATTAAACGATTTTACCATGACATAACACTTAAAAATCCTTATGCACAAAGCTTTGTTAGATCTCAAATATTGTAGAACCATTAAATTAAGTAACTCATTATTTAAACCATCTGTTTTTGTGCTTTCTTAAGTATAAGAAGCATATTTTAAAACACTTGATTTTTGGTTTTTAGGTAGTGTAAATTGTATGATCTACTTCAACAAAGTGGATATTCTCCTTTGTTTTCCTAACATCAGCTCAGGATCTACCCATTTTGTCAAGTCGAAGAGTAAATTATTCCCTATTGAAAACAACACTAATTCTTTCTTAAGTAGGATGGTGAATACTTGTGAGATAACTCTTAGGGCCTGTTTGGATTTGTAGGGGGTGAAGGGAAGTTAAGGGAAACTGAGTGAAGGGAAGGGAGTTCCCTTCCCCTTGGTTACACCCCAATTTGGGGGGTAACAATTTTTATACTATTAGGGGGTGAACCAAGGGTAACTAGGATGAATTAACTTCACCTCCTAAGTGTTCCCAAACAAGGTGAATGGAGGTGAATGGTTTTCCTAACTTCCCTTCACCCTCATTCCCCTCAATCCAAACAAGCCCTTAACCTGTCTAAGTGAACAATGCTGCTGCAGTATCTGGTTATCAGGATGCAAGTGTCAGATGCAGACTCATATTTAATTATTTATGGTGCTCAACTCAACTGATAACAGCCTGCTACTTACGATACGAGTTCGAACAATACAAAAATTGTACTCGTTTGTCCCTAGTATTTGCATTTACATGAGTTACTCTGGAAGCATAAGGTAAACTTCTTTCTTTTTCTTTCTTCTTTTTGAAGGTAAAAATCTTTGTTTGAGTTATCATGAATTCATAAGCTTGGTTACCATGTTTCCTTTCATTTATTTCCTGGTCTCTATCCTTTTGGTGTTAAGACAAATTTGAATGCTTTCCTTCCTCTTTCATGCTTCAGGATGGGCGGATTAATGCCCTATATTCAACCCCTTCGATCTATACAGATGCGAAGTATGCAGCAAAAGAGTCTTGGCCTCTCAAGACTGATGACTTCTTCCCGTAAGTACAAAAGCTTTGGAAACACCAATTCATGTGAAGTATATTTTTGGTATATTGTACTAATAGATTATTGCTTGAGTATATAGGTATGCTGATAATCCAAATGCATATTGGACGGGTTACTTCACAAGTAGGCCTGCGTTGAAGGGCTATGTTAGAATGATGAGTGGTTATTATCTGGCACTTTTTTTTTTTTTTTTTTTTGATTTTCATCAAAGGATATTAATTATTACATATTCGTTGGTCATTCTCCTGGTATTTGACATCTATTTATGTAATATAAATTACAAGATGTCCAATCTATGTCCAGGCTGCTAGGCAGTTGGAATTTTTCAAAGGAAGGAATAGCACAGGCCCCACAACAGACAGTTTGGCTGATGCTTTAGCTATTGCACAACACCATGATGCTGTCAGTGGAACTGAGAAGCAACATGTAGCTGATGATTATGCCAAAAGACTTTCAATTGGTTACACAGAAGTAAAAATCTTTGTTTAAGCTGTCATGAATTCATAATTATATCCAAGTGGCATGCTGTTCTTCCTAAGTTTGACCATTGTTTTTAATGTTCTGCAGGCCGAGAATGTAGTTAAAGTTACACTTGCTTGCTTAACAGAATCAGTCCTGGATTCAGGCTGCAGCAATCCAAAAACAAAGTTTGAACAGGTAAAATATGAAGTGTAAGTAAGTATTTGTTTTTTCCAGGGAAATTCTTCGAGCAGGGTTTGTTTCTCCAGTATAGAACTGGAAAACTATATCCTTTACTACTTAAACTTATATTGCTGATAGAGCTTAGTGCTCTAGGTTATGAGGATAATAAAAGATGATTTTGGTAAGATTAAATTTATATAGCTCCTTCAACTTAGAAGGTTGTTTGTCTCTGCATACTTGTCAAGAGAGATGTGCATTTTTTGTGGTGTTGATACTCCTGAGTGGGCAACTGGCAACTTCCACTTCAGTAATCACATAATAGATATTCAATCCAGGTGAAGCAAGATTAAATTTGATGTAGATTGCTATTGTAGGATTGGTTGGGATCACAACTGATGCAAGTTGCAGTACTCAATTGGGCATCATCACTATTTTCTCTGAGCCTTTTCACATCAAATTTGGCAAAGTATGGACAACAACAACAACAAAGTCTTTATCCCAAATTTTTGGTTTTGGCTACATGAACCCTATTCTTCCATTCAGTTCTATTTTGAGCCATCTCCTCTGTTATATTGGGGAACTTATGGAGTGAACTATAAATTGAGGGACAATTTTTACCACTATATCTTTGGCTGCTTGTGAGTCAGTGTAAAATCTTGTACAAGGAAATTGTGGCATGAAGGAAGCTTGGCATAAACTGATAACGGTCTGGTGTTAAGAAATTGGTCTTGTTGGTCATTGTGGAGTAAGCTCATGCCACCAGGGCACAAGAGCTCATCCAACATCATATTCTGATCATTATCGCTTTTTCTCATGAATATGTGATCTGCTACGAACTGCAGTTAGAACTCCGAGAAAATATAGAAAATCTTAATTCGGGATGGTACCTCATGGTTTTCTTGGAGGAGGGAAATGAGGAAAGAGTATCTTATGGAGTTCTTACGGGAGAAAGAAGAGGAAGGAGAAAGATGGAGGAAGATGAAGAGGGTAGAATCTTAGTTCTACTTTTAGTCTGTTAAATTTCTTATGGAGGGTAGCGGAGCGGTATAACTCGGGTTTGACCACAAAAGGGAAAAATTAGCAAATATGAAGATTTGGGGGTACTTTTAAAATCAACTTTTGGGAGTAATGCTTGCAAACTACTCAAAAAAATGGAAACCGGAACAATTATAAATTAAGGATGTCAGCTCGTAAGGAATTACTTAAGACAAAAATAAAATCAATATCAAAAGAATGGTTGACGGTCCCCGAGTGGGTACAATTAATCTTTTTTTGAAGATTGTGTCTAATGAAACTGATGAGGTACCTAGTGTGGTAAGAAAGCTTTTTGGTTGGAAATTAGAATATTATTGGAGTTTACTATTTTTGCTCAAAATGTAGCTGTTTTGAGCAAGACGAATAATGGCGAAAAGTTACTTATTATCAAATAAAGCGTAAAAGAAATTTAAAATGTTCTTAATAAAAGGAAAAGAGAGTGAAGAGGAATGGACGTGGACAAATGAATGTTCCTGTTCTTAGAATGACAATATTTGGGCAAATTGGCACGTGTACAAATGTGTTTTGTTAACTTCTAATCAGCATAATTTCATTTGATATGTATTGTATCTTTATTTTCACAACATCCACAAGAGTTCCTTGTTCAGTGGGAAAAACAGTTTTGTTTTTCATCATTTAATTGATCCTAATGTTTTAATTTGCAAGTTTACAGTGTCCTCTTCTGAACATAAGTTATTGTCCTCCCTCTGAAGTAACCTTGTCGAATGGAAAGAGCTTGGTAACTACTGCTATCAGATCCTCTCTTTCTTTTTGGTAAGAAATTGGCTCTGTGAATTTTAATATGCTTACTGTAAAAATTGTTCTTCCCAGGTCGTTCTTGTTTACAACTCTCTTGGATGGAAAAGGGAGGATGTGATCCGTATACCTGTAAATATATTTTCTTACTCTATGCTCATAGTTGATCATTATATAACTATTGTTGTCTCTGTCTGATCACTATATAAATCTTTCCTGTCTGCTTCAATGTTGTGTAAAGATATCATAGAGTTCAAGAAATGACAAAGATGCACGTTTTATTGGCTATATATTTTCCATGGTTACTTCTACAAATCATTTTTACTGCAAGCCTTTTTCTCTAATACGCTTCTATTGTTTAAATTACAAAATTTGCTTTTTTATCATGTCTCATAAACTGACACAAATTATCAGTTTTCTGTTGTCATATACACTCACTGCGACTACCATGCATTTCATAACCTATTTTGCACACTATTTGTCAACTGCTTTGGCAGATAAAAATGTTAATTAGATTAATCTGGCGGTACCTTCCACTCTTATCTTTTCCTTTGTTGATAGAAGGTATGAGTTTAGTGATTCAAATATTCTGTTTTCAGACTATCAATCTAACTTGTGTTCTCAAAAAAGTTTGGCAATAGATGCAAATGAAAGATTAAGCTACTAACGGGAGTTACTCAAGTTATAAATTGATGAGAATCTCATCATAACAACACTTAGATGATGGAAAGCTTAGGTAAATGCCAACATATTGTGGATGAGCTTCGTTTTCTTTGTGAATTAACTTTCAACCAGCCTAGCTGTCTCCTATCCGTTACCTGTTATAGATGACCCATCAGCTTTTGCCTTGGTAGTTATTTATGTAAGTGAAGCCGGTTATGCATATATACTATCCGTTGGAAGAAGAGCTATGATATTCTTTGGATGCATTAGTTATCTTTCCATGCACGTTAAAGACTTGTTCCCTCAATCACAATCGAATCATGGGGGAAGTAATATTTTTTTCCTACTGAGATTAGGGAATCCAATCTATGGCTCTCGATAATTATATGACAAAGCACTTTTGTCAAGGCAGTGACATTATTAACTAGATATAGTCATTTTTCCATCTCGTATCTAGTCCTCGTCCTTTCTTTCAATTGAATAATAATATTTTGAAGGTTTTATGTGTACAGAAGATAGCAACAGACAGAAAGTATGTTTATGTTGGTTGGAAAATCTTAATTGGCTTATCGAATCAGTTATTCGTAATTCTATTATTGGTAGATTGGAATGAATTAGCTTGAATATAATTGGATGAGGTTAGCCAATTATATTCGGCTATGGCTGGGTTCAAAGATCTTGATTCATTTATATTCAGGTCTGTTTGGCATCAGGCATAATCAGGTTGGGGAAATGTGGCCGCAGTCTACCTAAGCCTGAGGATGACATCCCTATATGAAATATAGGATTGAGAATCAACGTTGCTACATATCGAAATAAAAAGGAATACCCTTACTGCTCCTTTAACAGTTGAGGGGAGCCTTTATGTCATCAATGCTGAACATTGCTATGGTGTGTGTACACGTTATCTCACTTACCATGGAAACAACTGTAGGAATATGCAGTTAATGAGAGATTTACCAATTCAAGATAATTGGTTTAATATGAGTGTAAAACTTGTTAGAGTTTTATGTAAAAGTTTTCCAAAAAAGCCTAGGCTAAGTTTTAAACTACATATATATTACAGTGTGTATTTCAATAACAGAAATACACTGTAGCCCAGTGGTAAAAATCTTTTTGAACAAATCGGAGGTCACAGGTTCAAGTTTTGCCTTCGGCAAGTCCCACTCATTTTAAAGAACAATTATCTAATAAGTTTAAACTCGGGCTCGGACTCGGGTCAGGTCATATCGTGGATCAGGCTAAGGTGCTATGATTGTGCAATAAGTGCTTTGTAGGTGCACTTGGCATGTTGGCATCGGGAAGCAGAGGCGGCGCCCTATCGGCGCACCGTTGGCTACAGCTCTAGTCACCGCGCAGGCTGCTTCACAACACAGAGTAGTAGAGTCTGACCTAAAGACGCCTTTCCACTTAGAATTGAGTCTTTTCTGATGGAGACCGACTCAAAGACGCCTTCTGACTTAAGAGTCTTAGACTTGTTGGAGTTGGCTTAGAAAACAACTAGAGGGTGACTATTGGGCTTCTGAACTGATCTATTCTATGAGCTCGTTAAATAGACCAGTTAATGTAGTTAGTGGGTTGAGTGAGTATAACTGATCTAACCTTTAGGCTTTAGGTAGCTCTCGTTAATGAGCTAGCAACTCTTAGCTGAATCAGAAACCTATATAAAAGTCTTAACAACACCAGAGCTTTTTCTCAGAAGTAACCTCTAGAAATTGCAATGCAGAAATTGCAGTGCCGAAATTGCAGTGCCCACTTGAGTCCAATTATTTGCCATACCGAGGAGGCTATCGAAATCAGATCGATGAGGTCGCCTAGTGCCTGAACTTGATCAAGAAGATCATGGAGGGTCTGATTAGTGCACACAAGTACACTCAAGTTACTGTTCTTAGAAGCAACTCGACTTGGGATCTTAGCATTGGAGTAGGCCGAAGCTGGCTTTTAATTCAGTGTTTTAGAACTCACAGAGAGTCAAATTGGTTTTTTTGGCAACAAGCATTTCAAGAAAGTTCAAATTCTCTGTCTTGATTTTTTCTTTTTGTTCTAACATTCTTATAGCAAGATTTTTAGTCTCATAAGGGATCCTGCAAGCACTATGGGAATCGACTGCCCGAAACTTGAGAGCTTCGACAGAACTGACTGCAATGTATGGCGACGCAAGGTGATCTTTGGGACTGCAATGTATGGTGACTGCAATGTTGTCTTAGAAGACAATCTTAAGTTCAAGGAGGACAACACAACCGGCAAAGTAAACCGGAACCGCGACGACACCTTTTGTGGGAGTTCTCTCCCCAATTGTCTTGCTGACCACATTGCAGATGTTTACATACACCAAGCCTTTGCGAAAGAAATCTGGAGTGCATTGGAGCAGCAGTACAAAGACGAAGAGAAGCTTTCCAAAACACATCTCACCGACAAGTTCCTCTACCTCAAATTCAAGGATGACAAAGGGTTTACCTCAGGTCAAGAAGCTTGAAAAACTTGTCATGAAGTTAAAAGATTAAGCTCTATGACATCTTCATCGTCGGTGCTAGCGTCAACAAACTCTCTCCTTTATGGATGTCTTTCTCAACAGGCATTCATAAGAGGAAGACACAAGTTTTATTAGCAGACTTAAAAGAGGTTCATCCGGATTAAAGATGAAATTAGGACTCACACTAAAAACGAGCTGCTCGCTAAGCAAAAGGCGTAAGCTAAGATGATGTCTACCAACCCTGTCAAAAACGTCATCGGTAATAAAAAGAAAAATTTTAAGTTCACTGCTCCATAGAGTCTTAATTTAATGTGAAAAGAGTTAAAAAAGAATGGTTAATGCTTCAATTGTGGGAAGGATCACTTTGCAAAAGCAAGTAAAGCACCAAAGAATGCAAACAACGTAATGTTGCTGAAGTCAATTGAAGAAGTCAAAACTCTGTGGCGATGCTTTTTCAGATGACAAATTCTCTTAACACTTCTGAATGGTGGTTAGATATTAGCGCTACATGTCATGTTTGCATTGATAGGAGCTTTTTTACTTCTTATGTTGCTGCTAGTGAGAATGTATCAATGCTTAATCATTCTACTGCTAGAGTCCTTAGAACTGGGGCAATGGTGATGATACTTACTTCTGAAAAGACTCTTACTTTCAAGAATGTGAAGCATGTCTCATCAATTGCAAAGAATCTAGTGTCTAGAAGTCTCCTCGATGATGCTGGAATGTGGCTAGATCTCCGAGGAAAAGTTGTCCTATCCTATTAGAAAGTTTATTTTGGTAATGCTTATCGTATGGAAGGAATGTACAAAATAAGTATTTAAACTCTGACTCAGCTATCAACGGAGTTTCTATTTCGACATACTCCTCTTAGGCATAATAGACTTGGTCATGTTAATTATAGAAAATATTTAACATGAATAAGTTAGGACTTCTATCCAATTTTAGGGGTGATAAACCAAGTCGATGTGAAGTTTGTGTGTAAGCTAAGATCACAAGGAAACCTTTTCATAGTGTCACAAGAACTACACAATTACTAAAGTTAATTCACTCCTACACTTGTAACTTCACCAGTAGAGGAGACATAAAATATTTCATCATTTTTATTGATGACCACTCATATTGTCATGTCTACTTACTAAAGTCAAAGATGATGCCTTTAGTAAGTTTATCGAGTTGAAGACCGAGTAGAAACATAACTTGGTCACCTAATAAAGAAGCTTAGAAATTATAAGAGTATTGATCCAAGGAAGCCAAAGCTTATTTTAGAGAGCGTGGGATAGTTGTTGAGACAACGACTCTTTATTCATCTCATTCTAATGGGAATGCAGAGAGGAAAAATCGGACTCTAACAGAGATGATAAGCACAATACTTAATCACCTGTAGTATTTTAAATTGCTAATGGGGCGAGGCATTATTAATGGAAAATTAGATCTTAAATTGGTACTATATTCTAAATTTGATATAACACCACATCAACATTGGTGTGGTTATCCTGCTCCTTTAGATAATCTTAAAGTATAGGGATGTCTTGCCTATGTTAGAAGCTTAGAAGATGTGATATGAGGTCAAAGCTGGAACCAAAAGAGAATAAATACAAATTTCTAGGGTTTGCCAAAGACAGTGATGCAAGTGGATTCTTAGATCTCGACAATAAATTATTGAAGCTCGAGATGCAAATTTTTTTAAGGAGAAATTTATCAAAGATAAAAATTTGTCACTCAAAGATATACCAGAGAACACTGAAGAAGAAGCTACTACTTTGGAGGACTCTACTCGAAATGAAGAAGTTGTTATTCTAGAGGAAGTTGTAGAGCTTCCAGTCAAGCGGGTAAGAAATGTAAAGGATTTTGGTGGTTATTTCTTTATGTATAATGTAGAGATTATCATTTAACCTTTCATAATGCTATGAGATTCAAAGATGCATTATTTTAGAAGGAAGTTACAGAAGATGATATGAATTCTCTTCTTTAAATTCACACTTGGGTGTTAGTTGAT